GGGCTGGCTGGCATGTGGTGCTGGGGGATTGAACCGCAGTCCCTGTGCTTTGTTTAGCTTAGTTTTGTTCTAAGTAGGTGCCTTAGACCACTGAGCCATCTCACCAGCCCTACATCTATTTTAAATAGGGCTAAAGCTGAGGATAAAAATAGGTATAGAAACCAAGGGCAGTTTGGGACATGTTAATTCCTATATTTTTTTTTAAAAAAAATTAAATTTATGTATTTGGTACAGGGTCTCACTGTGCAGCTCAGAGATGGGGTTGGCACAGCACGTAGTGCTGGGGATCAAACCTGTCCTTGTGCTTGCCAGGCAGCTAATTAGACCATTGAGATATCTCTGCCCCAAGGACATGTTAATTTCTTTTTTTTTTTTTTTTTTTTTTTTTGTGGAACCGGGGATTGAACTCCGACCCTTGCACTTGCCAGGGAAGCACTTATTCCACTGAGCCATCTCCCCGGCCCTAACATGTTTATTTCTGAGGTGTTCAAAATGTCAGGACAGCAGTTTGGTATGTGGATGAAGACTGCTGAATTGGGCTAGCTAGAAGTTGAGTCATTAGTCATTTTGCTTTTATGTTATTTTAGTAGTATGGAGGGCTAGAACCTGATTGGAGTAGGGTGGGAAAATGGAAAATAAAAGGTGGAGACAATTTTTAAAATATATTTTAATGAGGACAGCACAAAAATAGATGCAGGGTGGTTTTTTTTATTTTTTATTTTTGTAAGATAATTGCATCAAGACTTTTTGGTGGTACTGAGGCTTGAACACAGGACATTCACACTGAGCTGTATCATCAGCCCTTTTTTATTTCTATGATGAGCTCTCTTGACATATTCTGTCCTGAGTGAGCAAATATTTCAGGGGAAGTCTCTGTCTCCGTTCTTCTCTGTCTCCCTTCTCCTTCTCTGTCTCTCTTCTCCATCTCCCTTCTCCCACTCCCTTCCCCAACTCCCTTCTTCTCCATCTCCCTTCTCCTTCTCTCTTCTCCTTCATCCTTCTTCTTGTACTGGGGATTGAACTCAGGACCTTGAGCTTGCCAGGCAAATGTTTATTTCACTGAGCTATCTCCCTAGCCCAGGATCTCCTTTCTGATAATAGACATATTTTGATGTTTGGTGCTGTTTCATTTTTCTGTGTCTTTTCATAAGGCTGTTCAGTGAAAGTGGTTGTCTTATTTCCTCACATATAAACAGTGTTGCTATGCCCGAAGCAGAAATAAACCATTAAATACTAGCTTAACTTGTTCAGAAGTAGTCTCCTGTAAACTGGCAGGTCTCAGGCTATGATAAATTAAGCCAGAAGTGTCTCCAAGGGTGAGGCTGCCTGGCTGTAACTCTGGTACTGTGCTCTGGCTCAGTGAACTGTTTGCTAGCCTCAAGAAGTCCTGAGTTCTTACCCAGGACTACCTTGCTATGTGTTTCCTCCCCTCTGCCTGTTTCCCATTCTTTACCTGGCTGGCATCATCTTTTTCTTCTTGTTTAGGTATCACCTTCCATCTCCCACCCTCTCTAAACTTAAATTCTTTTATTTAGATGTGAAAAGCCAATTTTTTTGTTCTCTTTTTTATGCAAATTAATACCTGCCTTACACATAGCATTAGCTGAATGTTCTTAATAAGAGGGGAAGCACTAATATATACTTGATAATAAGCTTTATCACTAATCCAGAGTTGAACTAAAGGGCTTACTAAAGCTTTTTTTTTTTTTTGTCTTTTTGAGACAGGGTCTCCCTATGCAGTTCAGACTGGCCTTGAACTTACTACTTTGTAGCCCAGGCTGGTCTCAAACTCATAGTGATCCTCCTGCCTCAGCCTCCAGAGTGCTGGGATTACTGGTCTGCGCTACCATGTCTGGATTGCTCAGTAAACCTTAAATGTGCTGTTTTTAAGAATTATGCATTGAACCCAGGGACTCCTTAGACATACCTAGACAATTACTGTACTGCTGAGTTGTACTTCTAGCCCTAAAACTAAATTTTTTTTCAATTAATTATAAAAACTGAGCAGTAGGTAGAATTTACTTTATAGAAAGATTGCAGATTATTAAGTGATAGAAGACAGTTTTTTTTATTATTAATTTATTTAATTGTGTGTGTGTGGCCAGCTCAGCCCACTAGGGGCGGGGCTGGCTGGCATGTGGTGCTGGGGGATTGAACCACGGTCCCTGTGCTTTAGCTAAGCTTGTGTTAAGTAGGTGCTTTAGACCACTGAGCCATCTCACCAGCCTGACAGTTTTGATTCTAAACTTTACTCTTAACTTTGTTTCTCTTGAATTGGAAGTTAGATGCTATGAGGGCATTTAACTGTTTTTTTTTTTTTTTTTCTTTTTTTTTGGTGAAACCAGAGATTGAATTTAGGCCCTCGCGCTTGCCAGGGAAGTACTTATTCCATTGAACCATCTTCCTGGCCCATTAACTCTGTGTCTTTGGTTTTAGGAACTTCTAGCAATAGTAAAAAGAAAGACTGCAGAGAATTTAGAGGATGCCACCCTCTTGTTTTCTCTGAAAGCACTTTGGAATCTTACTGATGAGTCTCCAGCTACCTGCAAGCAATTTATGGAGAATCAAGGATTGGCAGTCTTCATCCAAGTTTTAGAGGTGGGGATAATGGGATTTAGTTCATATGTAAAATCCTTTCCTTCATGAGCTGGGCAAGGTGGCATATACACATAATCCCAGAATTCCAGAGGCTGAGGCAGGAGATTGCTCTGAGTTTGAGGCCAGCCTGAGTGACATAGTGAGTTCAAGGCAGGCTGAACTACACAGCAAGTCCCTATCTTTAAAAAAAAAAAAAAAAAAATTCTTTCCTGCATGAAAAAGTAACCTGTATGTTCTTTTGACAGACTTTTCGAGATTCTACAATACAAAGCAAAGTACTTGGTCTTTTGGTAAGGTGAATTATTTTGAATTAATTTTAATTACTTATAGAAAACAGTTATGTAGTACATACTGTATTGTAGATACTTGGGAGTAATTTGCATATATACACTTATTTACTCTTCACGTTATTGGCATAAATACCACTGTATGTCAATCATTGGTATATCAGATAAATCAGTTACCTATTTCTCTGCATAAACTACAGTTTATTGGCTTAAAACAGCATCTTTTTTATTTACTTAAGACTGTGTTCAACAGTTTGGGTTAACCTCAGCTCCACAGTTCTACTGGTCTCACATAGGGAGACTCACTCATGGCTATAGTCATCTGATGACTCAGTAGGGACACTGAGCTGACTGATGTGCTCGTGGGTGGTCAGCTGGGCCCTGTGTTTCTCTGTGTCCTCCTATTGTAGTCTCAGGACAGCTAGAAGGCAAGTACAGATGCTTTTCCAACCTCTGCTTACATTGCATTGGGCAGAGCATATTACATGGTTTAGTCCAGATTCAAGTCTGTATCCATCCTCATCCCATAGACATGGAGTCCAAGGCATAGAAGTATTCATCATCATCAGTCATTAATTAGTAAAAAAAAATCAGAGTCCACATACAGTCTGGCCCCAGAACCTCTGATATTAGACACTTCATTCTATTGTCTTTATTAAGCTGGTCTGTGTTTTAGAAGTTCGTTTGTTTGATATAGGTACTCACGATCTTGTGTTTGCCAGGCAGGCGCTGTGCTACTGAGCCACATCCCTCACCCCTAGAAGTTTCTTGTTTTTAATTTTTCACTGTTTTTCAATCAGGATAGTGCATAATTAGAAAATAAAAGACAAAGGTTTACAGTGCCTAATGAAAAATACTTTAAGCACCTTCAGTATTCCATGCTGGGTGTAGTAGGAGATACAGATGTCTGACAAAGAGCAAGCTGATGGTCCTTGTAATTTTGGACAGATGGTGTTAGACTACTAAATGGGTAGCTAAGATCATATCTGGAATGTGTTGAAAGAGGCCAAGTCTAGTGGAAACCTTTGCTTCTAGACTATGAACTCTTTGACATTGGGGACTGTATCCAATCTTCTTTGTATCCAGTCAGATACAGGACTCAGAATATGACTGCTGTGATAGAGAGGATTAAATGATTAATTTTTTTTTTTTATGATTAATGTTAAGTATCTGGACAGTACAGCAAATTATAAAGAAGAGACAGACAGTATGGGGGACAATGTAAATCTAATCACATAAAGATCTGTAAAGTAGAAATTGAGGAGAGGAGTAATGGGAAATACTGCTAGAAAACTGGAATGAAGCCTCAGTAATTACTTTGTAATTTTAGTTTAGTTTTTTTTTTAAAGGGTGTTAGGTATTTGAACCCAGGGTCTTTGCCCTGAGCTACATCCCTAGCCCTTTTGAAATTTTAATTTTTGACAAGATCTTACTAGATTGCCCCAGCTGGGTTTTTGGGGTTGAATTTGTGATCCACTTGCCTCAGCCTCCCAGAGTTGCGGGATTACAGATATGTACCATCACACCCACTTTAAAAGATCTGCTTAGGGGCTGGTGAGATGGCTCAGTGGTCTAAAGCACCTACTTAGAACAAGTTTAGCAAAGCACAGAGACCACGGTTCGATCCCCAGCACCACATGTCAGCCAGTCCCGCCCCCTGGTGGGCTGAGCTGGCCACACACACACACACACACACACACACACACACACACAAATAAATAAAATTAAAAAATCTGCTTAGATGTAGCTCAGTGGAAGAGCACTTGCCTAGGATGCTGAAGATCCTGGGTTTGATCATCAGCACACACATACTCCTATATTTCATCTTGTTAGGAGCTGCCCTTAGGCTGCAAAATGTTTATAGGAGAAATCACGAGCCACAAGTGAGGTATCTCCTTACTTGCGCTAAGAACACTACCATCTTTTCTCTCCTTGTTTGGGAGCATCTGATAGACATAACCCTGAAATCATGCCATTAACAAGGGGAAGAATGGACTGGGGATATTTTAAAAAGACTGTCCCTTGTGCTTAAATCTTTACTGCCTGTACTCTTGTCTTTCTTTCCTAAAAGCTGCTGACGTAGCAGCAGAGGTGTTAGCAAGAACTTAAACTGACTGCACTGTTTACTTTGGCTGTGTTACTTCTTCAGACCTTTGTGTTATCTTGTGTGAATAGGCCCTAAGGTGGCCTGTGGTGATTTCAACCTCCTGGGGTTCATGTCTTTTTACACTCCCCTTTGCTTAGCTGTGGGCAAGACCTGTTAACCTGCTTCTAACCAATAGAATATGGCTAAGATGATAGGGTATCACTTCCTAATTATTTTACAAAGTCTTTATGAAATCATCTTTGTTAGCCAGCTGTTCCCCACTAGCTTGAAAAGAATAAACTTGTGAAATGAGTGGTTGGACAAGGGAGGTGTCCACATTTCAAAGATATTTGGGCCGATTTTAGGAGCTGAAGGTCACCTACAGCAAGAAATCAAGTTTCTCAGTTCTGCAGTCATAGGAAATGTGTTTTGCCAGTAACCTGGGTGAACTGGGAAGTGGATTCTCCCTTGTGGATTCTCATGTTAAGGATGTAGTCTCCCAGTACTCCAGAGTAGAAGACCCCACAAAGTTGTGACCAGACTTATGTCCCACAGGAAGTTTGAGCTTTGAGGTAGTAAATATGTGCTTTTTAAGTCACTGAGTTTGTAGCAATTTGTTACACAGAATAGAAAACTAATGTAGTATGTAAAATAATGCTCCTTGCCTTTCACTGTTATTTTTGGTTTTTTGATTTTTTTTTTTTTTGTTTGTTTGTTTTTTGTTTTTTTTTTTGGTACTGGGACTCAAATTCAAGATCTCACACTTTCCATGTAGGCGTTATGCAGCTGAGCTATATCTCCAGCCCTTATTGTTTCTGTTAAGCTTCAGGATAATGTAATATTGATTAGTCCCCTAGCCTGGATTTGTATCCTAGTTTGGCAGTTACTAGCAATATGAACCTGATGAATTAGTAATGCTGTGAGAAATCAAGTTTCTCTGTAGAGATACTTTAAAGAAAAAAGCCGTAAAATATTAAAAAGGCATTTTTATTTACTGTGCCTGGTACTTACTAAGTGCTTATTCAGGGATTTGTTACCAGTGATCATGGTCGTTTTGAAGGGATGGGATTTGGGTGTTAGGCTAAGGGGCCGGGGGAGGAACTGTGGGAAGTGTATCTGAGCTGAGGAGTAGGAAAGAGAGAGAGTGGGTTCTCAATGTTTTTCTTCCCTCCTGCCCCTGATGCTTACATATCTGTCTCACCTATAGAGCAACATAGTTGAAGTCCGAGAGCTCACGTCCAAGCTGATGACTGAAGATGTCATGAAGCATATCAGCATTTTACTCCACAGCAAGAACATGGAAGTGAGCTATTTTGCTGCGGGTATAATAGCCCACCTAGCATGTGACAAACGGCCCTGGCCATTCTGTGCCGCTCAGAGGAGTGCTCTTCTCCAGGACTTGGTACAGGAGCCATTCTTCTTTATAAAAGCTAGTGTATCTCTTCTGGCAGATCATATATTTTTCCAGGTCATGAGAGTTCTAGAAGTCATGTGATCACTGTAAAAATTGAAATTATAAAGAAAACTATAACTTACCCATACTCTGCCACCTGACGCTAATCTTTATTAACATTCTGTTGCATTGCCTCTTGTGTATAGTGTATTCTAATCTCTTTTCCACTTTTAGCTCTTTCTAAAATGATTTCTTTTGATGTTTACTTCCATATCTCTAAATCACATTTCTATTCTTGACTGTAACTTTAGGCATCAGTAAACTCCCGTACTGGGGTTATTTTCTCACTGTCTGTCCCCCTGTGTACCTTTCCTGTGCTCTAGCTGTGACTGTGTCAATACATTCAAACATATCCTACTTTCCCTTCTTCCCAGAGTGTGCCTTCCTTGAACCTTCAGTGTTCCTCCCATTTGGTGTGCCTGCTGTGTATGTCTGCTGTACCTATGACACTGTCATTCCTGGGATACTCCTTCCCTGCCATCCTGGGGATGCCCCCTGTCTCTCACATGTCAGATTCCCTACTTCTGCCCCTGTGGCTTCTGTATTTTGGTTTACCCCTTTGTGTTTTTTTTTTTTTTTTTGGCAGAACCGGGGATTGAACTCAGGCCCTTGCACTTGCCAGGGAAGCGCTTATTCCACTAAGCCATCTCCCCGGCCCCCACCCCTTGTGTTTTTAAGTTATGTCCTCTAGTAGCTTTCTGAGAAGAAGTACATGAGAGAAGTCAGTTGGTCAAATGCTTGGGTATCACATGATAGCATTGAAATACCTTTCCAAAGTTTTGTTTTATTGTATTATATTGTATTTATTTTAATTTTATTTTTGTGGTACCAGGGATTGAACTCGGGACCCTGCACTTGCTAGGCAAGCGCTTATTCTACTGAGCTATCTCCCTGGACCCCAAAGTTTTAAATCTGTGTTTTTGTTTTTTTGTACCTCAGTATTGCTGTGGTGCTGTCATTCAGACCCATAATATGTAGAAATCACAGTGATGTGTCTTCATAGGGGTTTATTTTTACATGTTCTATTGAGTACTTATCACTGTGGAAGGTGGTTTCCTTCTGTTCTTTTTTTTTTTTAAGCTGGAGGTGATAAGTGCTCTACTGTTGAGCTACATCCTTGGCCTGAAGTTTTTAAAATCTATTTTAAATTCCATTCCTTTGTTTTCCTTCTGTCTTTCTGGGAGGATGACCATTCCAGGCTCATTTTTTTTCCCTGATCTTTTTGAAAAATTTTCCATTTCTATGGGATTTTGTATTTTTGCTGTTAATAAGAACTCCTTTTTTTGTTCTTTGAGTGCTTTTCTTTTGTTGCTTTTCTTCCTCCCCTTCTTACCCTTCCTCTTTCTTCACTTTATGAATGAAATTAAGGCTGGGCTCATTAGGCCTCACTAGTCATATTGAAATTGTATGTAATTTTTATTTGGGGTGCTGGGCATGCTAGTCAAGTGTTCTATCACGAAACTATATCCTCAGCCCCTTTCTGAGAACCTCTAAAATGTATACCCATCCTTGTTTTGAATGCTATATGCTTTTAACTCTTTAAAAGGAATTGATAATTTCTAGTTTTATTTAAGTTTTCCTCTTTCAAGGTCTGTTTTTTTTCATATTTTATCCTTTTATGTTAGAGATATTCTGACCATATGTAGTAGTACTTTGTCAGTCATTGTCTATTAATACGTAGTTTGGAAGCCATGTACAGATAGTGAACCTTTTCAGCTCTGGGTATCCCTATAGAGGGATGTGGATTAAGTATGTCAGTGTCAGTGCCTGTATCTTTTCTCTTAAGCTAGAGCTTACCTGGAGAAGCCTTCTGTTTTCTGGAGTGAAAGTCTAAGCTTGAGTGCCATTCATCTAAAAGCCTACTGTATCAGTCCCTTTCACATGACTGGAACAAAACACTTGCCACCTGCCTTTTTTTTTTTTTTTTTTACCACCTGCCTTTTGCCAGGCATGTGCTTATTCTACTGAGCTATCTTCCCAACCTAGTTATTATTGGAAGTTTATCATTTATAAAAAATGAATTTGGACTTTGTAGATCATTTATTTTCTGTTATTTTTCCCCCTGCTTTTTTTTTTTTTTT